AGACCCCTATCCAAACCACGGAATAGACACTTACCTGAAATGAATACATTGAACAAATGGAAAACGTTATTGATGACAAAAATCACTCAAAGATAGAACTTAAAAACCAATATTAAAGTACGTACGGTATACGGCACTGGAACATATGCTGAGAATGAGGAAGGATGTCAGTTGGTAAGGATGTAGTCTGTATAGTCAACGTACATGTATATTCAACCATCTGTGTCCATGAATAAATGTTATCTATATAGCCAATAGAGGGGTGTTCTACTGATAAAAATACCCGAGGTCGTGGCATCATCATTAATGATATGGACAGATATTTGTATCTTTATCTCGTCACGTATGCCCTGTAGACCCATATATACACATGTCCCAATTTTTTTACCTACAAAAGCCAATTGACATTTGACAAAATGGTATGACACACAGGACGTCTGATTTGATAACCAAAAAAATGCTTACACAGTTGAGTTCCTACATTACTTTTATACACCAGCTATATGTGACGAATCCTCAATACTCCAGGAATTAAGCTCACTATCGCTCCCTGCACTCCTGGAAAATGTCATGACAAAATTGAAGGCACAAGCAAAGTAACCTTATTGGTCTAGATCGGCTTTCAAGATAATAAGATACTTACCACAGACTGATACATTCCTTTAAAGGAGCGACACCCAACATCAAAGCTAGTATAACATACCGTTATGCGGCATTTAGATTCGTTTGATGTACATCACAGAATCAAGCTAGTCTTCTCTATTATATATAAAGTGCCACACATGGAAACTTCGATTTTGCCTCCATGAGATGTTCCTGTGGGACAGAGATCGAAAATGACTACAGTCCCTGAAGTATCGAGTATGTATTCACGACATCACAGAGTGCTATGAAGAAGTTTCATTTCTGGAGGATTACAAAAACCCACAAAAACTTCAAAATAATCATATAGACTTATAATAAACCTTGCTTTTAAACTTAATGTTAAATGGCTTAACCTTTAAAACTAGTCTTTAAAAAGGGTTGTCTACTTTTTAAATTTAACAGGCTATTTATGAAGTCTGACATTTAAACAGACTGGTGTTTCCTTTATATTTTATCATTAAAGTGACTGGCCTAACCTTCGACTTTGAGTAGACTTAAGTTGAAGACAGATATATGAGTTGATAGGTCTTGATTGGCTTTAAAACATTTAACTGGTTCAGACGCCTTCAGGTTTCGTCATGAAACATATAAGTCTTTTCCTTTTTTTGTCTGACGTTCGAGACTATCACTTTAGTTTGCTAGTTAAGTTTATCCCTGTAGTATGTCCATTAAACTAGCCAACGTAGCCATCCTTCAGCATGACATTTTATATGTCTGTGTCCTAAATCTTGATATTTATTTATGCAATTTCCCCTGAAAGCTGCTCTGATCGTAAAATAATTTATTCACAACCAGCAAATTGTAAAGAAGCTAATGATTAAATCTATACATTCATTTAAATCCTTTCAGACATTGGACAGATAAATTCAGCTCCCTAACTGGTCATTTCATTGGTCATTAAAGTCCAATTTGCCATTAATCTCATACACCGTAACTTCCTAATCATTGTCAGATTATTCAGCTGATAATTGCCTACCTATATGTATTTCACCACCATGATAATATCGATATAGTTTAATTGTTAGGCTATTGTATGACCAGCGTAGACGGTCACCTACCTAATCTCAACTGAATTTACACTTCAAATAGTCCTAACATTGTTTGTTGAACTCATCCCGAGATCTTACTGATACAAGGCTGCATGCCAAGTTTCATCCAAATCCATTCATATTTACTCACAGTATCGTGTTCACAGTGTCCAGAGGAAATGGAAGTACAAACGGACATGACTCAGCAAATAAGTCACATCTTCGAACTCATAATCATGAAATCTTATTGATATAATGCGGAATGCTGTATGAAGTTTTATGAAAATATATTCCTATTTACTGAATTTATAGTTCTCGGAAGGTCCAATAGCAATACAATTACAACGGACGATAACTCTGTGCAATATCATCAAGTACATTCCAACGTCAAACGCATACAAGTCCTTATTGATATAGACTGCATTCCAAATTGCATTAAAAGTTTATCTTACTTACTGATGATATCGTGTCCACAAGGTCCATGGTAATAAAACTGTAAAGGGCTATAAATCTATATGTATGTCGATTCCATTGTCAACCTCTCGATGTCATTAGGCAGCAGACCAAGTTTCATCAAAATCCATGCATATAAACTCAAATACATGTGTTAACAAGAAGTAAAAGTAGCATACGGCGCACAAAGTTCAAGGGCGATAACTCTGTATATAATGATATAATCGGTCAAACTGTCGAACGACAGATAGTCATTCCGTATATCTTTACATTGTTATCATTAATTACCATATGCCCAGTTATCACTTCAATTTGTGGAAAAAATGGCTGACTAATGTCACAATAAATCAAGTTCATATTAAGAATCAGACTTCATAAATGTTGATTAATAGTAAACGGTACTCACAGAGTGAGGTTCACGTTTTGCCAACAGATAGAAATATGTTATGCTATAAAGACAATGACAAGCCAGTTAAAGTCAGTTTCATGCCAATAATGTATTCTACCTGAGTTCATTAACCCGCGTTTTCATCTGTGTGATCTGTTAAATGAAATGCTATAGGCTTAATACAATGAACTGTAATACCTATCATACGTCCTTGCTCTAGATGATATCTTAATTGTTGTTTTTAAGCTCATGAAATACAACAATACAGTGTCATGTGTAAAATGCCTAATAGAAAATACATACGATAATTTTATATTTGATAATATACACTTCATAGAATAGAATAGCAGTTAAGTTACCAATAGATTGGTTGTGTTGTAAGACAGAGGAATAGTATATATCACTGGTTTCATAAACATTTTATACAATAATATAGCATTGGCTGATATAAAATACATAGCATACATTGGTTGATATACAATACAGGTATTAAAATATGATATAGATTGGTAATTCAACAGTCCAGAACGTTACACATTATAGTAGACACTTTTGAATGAATCATTCCTGGTGAAAGTGATATGGTGTTGCGTTTGCGTACTCCATGATGTCGATTCTCTGAGCCTAAAGGCACTCGATGTGTCCATATCCCTTCCCAAGAGGTCTAGTTGCTTCTCCTGTATCGTGCTGTATCTTGTTGATTTCGTTGACGGCAAGAATCTCTTGGAACTCTTTGATAATATTGTATATGTTGGGATGCCATCTGTTACCCACAACTCATCTACTCTTTCCAAAGGTATAAAGGGTAGCACGGCAGCTTAGGCGGACAAGTCCGTTGATATCGTTCTCATCTGTTGCTGATGTCCAGTTAGCTGGGGTTTTCTCTAGATGCACTGATGAAAGAGGCAAAAGGCATCCCTTGATGGTCACTCCTTCAAACAATGGACGTGTGCATTGTGGACAGGTGTCTTGAAGTCAACAAAGGCTGTTATAGGACATCTAGAAGAAGATTAATCGGTCGATGTCGTCCTCAAGTAATAGTCAAGTAAAAAGATGCTAGGTCTTGTCACGTAGTAGGATATAGACAAGTGGATACATTACTACTAATTATTTAACGGAGGTATTTATGTGAGGTAGATGGCATGGGTAATTAAAAAAAATCAACCATTGTTAAAGGTAGAAAGGTGGTCGGTTGGCGAAGTTGTAATGCACTCGTCGTAAAAACGTGTGGATTACCTGTCTGACCACGTGGATTTTCCCAGGGTACTCCGGTTTTTCCCTATAGAAAGACACATCGCGCGCTTTCATCCCGACCAACAAGAGTGATTGATATAAGTTGTAATAAACTTGTTTCGCAATTGTTATAAAATAAAATTTATTTAAAGGAAGAAGTCTTAAATTATCTGTTGATATGAATACTTTTTAAATTCTTACTTGAGTAATTAAGGCTTATCATATAAAAAATAATTTCAGCTAGATATCGTCCGATTTCCATAATACATGGTATGTAAATATGATTTTACACCAAAAACATGATAATAAAGGTGACATTCCTTTTTCGATTGGACAAGATGGCCGACACATAGCGGCTTATGTTTGGTTGAAATTTAGATTTCAAGGAAATTCGTTTATAGGTATTGTTTGACATCAGTAACACAGTGATTGAGTCCATATTCTGAATTAAGCAAATGGTCCCTGAGAGTTTCTCATTTCTTATCACACTTAATACTATATACATCAATTACGACCGTGAGGGTGTTTGGGGGACATATGTAACGGTAATCATTACAACCAGTACTTGTTTATCATTGTAACTGTTTGTCATTAAATGATAAATGTAATCCCTATAGCCAGACCATATATACCCTTACATATGGCAATGTAGTGCTGTTGTAGAATCCTCGAAGTTATCGGTCGAATCAAGCCTTTTTAATGGATGATGTTTTATGCAGCACTCTATAGCTAGTTTCTCATAGTTATGGTGATCTGGTTTATTTGTAACAACTTCGTCCTACGTATCTAGCCTTAACACCGATAATTGTAAAGGTTGTGGTTAATATACTTTTTACTATCTTCAACACATTTTACGTATTAGCAATACAGACGTACACATTGCTATATAACTTTCCTTGCTGTAAAATGACCTGATATGCAAATATCTCTGAATAGCAACACTTTAAAATGATCCTTGTTCTGAATGTTAACCCAAAACAAGTCAAGTGTGAAATATAGTAAATGTTTGTAAATCTAGGACAGGATATTACTTAAGAATGAAACAAACTATGCATTGAATATATCTTAACTTTAATCCTTTACCAAAAAGAGGCTTATAATTTTGAATACACCACTGGGATTTTCCATGTGAACCCGGATATCTAAAAATAGAATCATATATATATAGTATATATAAATACTGTACCCCTTAAACATTTGAATGTTTATGAGAGGATGCATCGTGTGTTGCCAATACAGGTGGTGCAAGAAAACAAATAAAATGTGAATCCAGTGTTCAGCAATTACACATGCAGGTATGTCAAATAATCAAGATATTTAGAAATTTGCATTTATTTGTCTTTAATTCCTTGTAATGTAGATCCATTGAAATATCACCTATCTAGTTTTATTTAACGTAATGATTGTGACATACATCTGATAGTTTCTGTACATTGAATGCCATGCCGAAACTGAAGTGGATATTTGTATTATCTATAAATTTAAATTACAGAAATTATGTAATATTACGGTGATATTTTGAAAATAACACGTGTTTCTTTTTTTTAATAAGCTATAAACAAAATGGCTGCCACTCTCGTGTTGTTTACCGTTAATTGAAGAGATCAAGGATACGATTGCACAATTACAGAGGCAGACACAGTTAAGATTATTTGTTCTAACCATATTACTATGTATACTATCAGTTAATTTTCCAAGTAAGAGAACGAAAAGTCTAATCATAGAAGCGATAGTACTACAGGTCAGGGGTCATATACATGCAGATAGACAACTCAAGAGTATTTAAAACATTACTACAGTCCAATTATAATACGCCATAACCAAATGGAAATATATTATAACACATTACAAGGAATTTCAATGATGTACAATGACATACTCAGACATGTTTATGACAAAAGGGAATATTCTCGTATTTATGACGTTTTGCTAAAACACACACGTTTCGTGTTACAGACAAAATGTAGGTCACTCGTTCATAGCGATCGGTCAATGAATCGCCTTTTAAGTACATGTACATTACATGCCTATTGTGACGTAATTCTCCTCCAAAGTAATCCTTATTGATGTGTAACTGAGGTTTGCTTTATATTTGCAGTTTCAACAACATGGAATACACACGTACGATATAGTTTATGAACACTGCATACAGTACAATGGCCGATATCACATCGTGTCTACAGGTATATATATATATATATATGTCCATATTTAGACCAGGAAGTCCTCCTGTAATAATTTTGTATTAACAACTTCAATCCTTTTAAATACAATATAATTATTACGTAAAGTTTTAAATCTTCTAAAGAATATATTTCTTACAGTCATTGAATTCACTTTTGCAAAATATAAAGCCAAACTGATGGTACGCTTTTCACTTTTGTCTTTTTTGTTTTGTTTTGTTTTTTATTCGAAAAATAAACAGAGGATTTTTCATACATAAAAGCAGCAAGGAAGTTTGTTTATAGACCATTGCTATACAAATATAATTCCTAATCATCTGCTTAGTGCGTGGTTCATATACATACGTACATGGTAGTATCTCATTTATCTTGGAGTCAAACGTTGTGTTGGTCACAGTAGGCCGAAGACCATCTGAAATCCAAGGCGTTCCCTTTAATAAGTGAACTTTACAGAATGCATAAAGAGTTCACATTAAAGTAAGCAAATTGTTAGTTCAGTCCAATGAAAAGATAAAAAAAGGAAAAATGAAAGCATTATTGTCGTATTTTTTCGTATTTTCCATTGACTCAAATTTTAACCACGTTCCTCTCCATAGCTCAAATGCCACTATACAAAATATCTTCATTATCTCCTACGAATTGAAAGCAGAATAAATTGTATTTCGTTACTTTATTTATAAAAAATAAAAGTGTATAAACAACGTGTCATCTAACTGTTGGAAATCTGGAATAAGATTTTTGTTGAGTTGAGTAGTTTGAGTGTTTATTGGTATGAAACAAGATTTCTAACATGAAAAATCGATTGTTTTCCATCAGCATTTTTGGTAACTTTTATTGAAATATTACTCTTGAATAAGAGAGTCAAGCCATGATGCTACAGATATCTATTTGCCGAATTATTAATTGACAAGTTGGGTAATATAATTCTAAATAAAACAGTCTGCTATAATTTCAGAATATTTTGGAGAATCAAAAACAGATTCAAGAAGCCACAAGACTTAACAGTGTAAACATAGCCAGAATGTATGGCGAATTCACGCAAAGCACGGCCAGTATCAAAGCTCTATTACAAGTCCTGAACCACCGTATCGAGAACAACGTATTTTCCTCTCCAGTGCCACAACCGAATTACGAATCACGTCACAGATCACATCCGGGTCTTACACGCACAGGTACAGTAGAAATAATATATTTATAAAGGGAAAAAATCATTAAAAAAAAAAAAAAAAAAAACAGCTGAATACTATGTATATCAGATATCTTGAGTACAAAAACAAGAAATTATCATTCAAAAACTTTCAACAAGTCTCGCCAAATCATCCTTATGAGTCCTATGATATCATTACAACAACCGATTTTTCATTATTTCATTTCTCAACACTTTTCAATGCCTTGAGCGCTACATTAATCAGGTGTTATATACTAAGTGTATTATGTGTATCTAAATAAAGGACTAAAGGAAGTGGTAAATGGAATGACAAAGATCTTACAAAGTGTATGTTTTAAAATGATAAAACCCACTGACCCTAGAATATGTAGAAGTTGAAGGTACTCATGATCGCCTTTCTGGACTTGGCTACTGGTAATATCTCTTGACTATTGGTAGAATGTCTGGCAAGAGACCGAAGGGTCACTATAGCCTCATCAGAATCATCTGTATTAGTGAAGATGAATACCATAAAGAAGAATTCAAGCTATAGACCAAATTCAAACCTCAACAGCTAGGAGCTGTATTTTCCATTACTCCTTTCAACTAATCTGTACATATTGAGTATATTTATCGTCCAAGAAAATATTAACATTTTCGTTTTTAAGTCAAAATATTAACCAGTCATGCCATGAATTTCCATATACAATTAACGACGACTGCAAACATAGGTTTCCTTTCAACGAAAAAAGAGTTGATAAATTATTGCTGGCGATTGTACACGAAATTATCACTAGAATGTTGAGCTTACTCGATTTACAAGACTGATATAACACAAATAAGAAAAAAATCATAAAGGCTTATTAACTTTTCAAGAGTTTAAACAAGCTTTTCATAATTTGCTATAAATTGATAATTAGACTCAAAGCTTATACCAAAATATGAACACGTAATCAAAACTGTCGCCGATATTAAAATAATTACTAACCTTTATAAGCACAAATTTGATGACGCAATTTCGGTAGGAGTTTTAGGTTACCACCAGAATTTATCATAAATAGCTAGCTTTACACTACTAGTCTGTCTTGTTTGGTATTAATGTTTTTTATAAGTTTTTCAATTAATTTATTATAATCAGACAACTGTCAAAAGTAAAAAGTATTTCAAATATCTATTTGATAAATCGTTTGATGAACTCGATCTCGGAGACATTGTGGTACCACGGATATTGATATGAAATCCATGGTGGTAGGCCTACCGAAAATGAAACAAAAGTACAAAGTTCCGATTTTAGAATAATGTCGGAAATCATTTACGCTTTAAAATATGTATGATCATTTATGCAATACTGATATCTTTCATAGAATAATAGAGTCGTGGAATGAAGATCTTATCGCCAAAAAGTATGGACGAAGGGAGATAAATCGAACATTGTCGAAGATATATTTTTTTCTTCCTAACAACGATCAAGCGACATAGCAAACCTGCATGAAACATTTCCAAGTTGTCATGTAAAACACCACATCGCATAACATTTTTGCGTTTTCCATTTTGTTTATCTATCTTTTACGTATATTTATAAAATAACTGCATCAACTATTTCATGTCCTTTCCGCGTTATTTGGTCATTTTTCTGGTATAAAAATCTGGTCCAGGCCAAAAAAAAAAAGAAAAAAATGAAAAAAATGAGAATGTTTATTATTGGTGTGACCATTTAACAATTGATACTGTTACGAGTGATAATGATAATAATAATGATAATAATAATAATTCTTAACGGCTCGTCAACGCATAAAAGGTCATTAGGACCATCTAACGGTAAAATACACAGCGATCCAAAAGGAAACAACATTAAACAAACCAAAAGGTAAAAGACAAATGTCAAAAATCTTAAATGGGTATGTTAACACAAAAGATTAAAATGGTACGTCATAGTCTATTATATAGACCAACATTTTTCAGATAATGTAGAATTTTACAAATCGCAACAGTTTCAAAAAGGGATTTTAGACCTGTAATGTTACGATAAACATTCTCGAGTAGACAGAAGGTCAATGCAGTCCAATAGAAAATGTTTAACGGTGAATTGCTCATCACATCCTATGCACCGAAGATGAAGTTAACCTATCCATTAGGCACAAATTACATTTTAATTCACTTTATAAATAAAAAATCAGAATTCAATTCTTTCTTCTGTGTTTATGATTAAGGTGATATAGTGTAGAAAACGAATTTAATCTGACAGCCTGAATGTAACATTAATGTCTGTTTTCTTCTCCTTGCCTTTTTTTTTTTTTTTTTTGTTTTGTTTTTTGTTTTTTTGTTTTTTGTTTGTTTTTTTGTTTTTTTTTTTTGTTTTTTTTTGTTTTTGTTTTTGTTTTTTCCCCACTTCTTTCATTGATGAAAACACGAGCATGCAGTCCTCACTGACAGCTTTATAAAAAGGAAAAAAAAATGAGATGATAGTTAATCAATCCCAGACAGCGTTGCGTGAATCCTGACGTGCATACATGCGGATTTGTATCTTTTCTTTCCTCTTTATAGGTGGCGACGGTGACGTAAGTGGTATGGAAGGTGTACACAAAGAATGCTTACAAGAATATTTTGAGTACATCGTCAAAGAGCTAACGGTAGATGGCACTACTCTCATCGACGAATTACAAGAGGATAGTTGTCTAACAGAGGGCGAGGCGTCCGACATTCGCTACCAAAAAGACACAAAGGCCAGGATACGTAAACTTATATATGCCATTTACACCCGGGACAAATCTGCATTTGATATATTTATGAAGAAACTTAAGAGTGACAATTTCCATGTTTATGAAAAAATCCAACAGGCTTATTCCAGCAAACTGAATGAAGGTCCTAGAGCATCAAAATGTTTGATATGTGTAGTAAAGCGAGACGTTGACATTCGACGTGTTGCTGACAAACTTTGCAGTCATTTTATCATAGATATGGACTACTTAAATACTTTGCTGTCATATTCAGATCATAGTCTACCTAAAGTTCGTAAAGAATTCTGGAGCCATGTTTTCTTTCAAATAGACAACTCTAATAAGAAGTCAGATCAAATTCAACAGTTATGCAACGCTTTGTCTGAAAGCAACTACAAGAAGCACGCAGAAAACCTGCAGCGTTGGTCACACCCACAATTGGCATGCAGCTGCAGTGTTTATTCAAGGTTGTCTTTCCCGGCCAACTTTTCAGATTCATTTAGTACAAGTGCTAGTACTGGTGACTTGAGCACAACGTCCAATATCCGATCCCAGAGTCGGACAAGTTTGCAGTCTGTGTCTTCCCTAGAGGGAGATGCTGGCAACTTGCCTTACACTGTGGCGTGGTTAAACAGTTCGCCGGCACCAAATGCTAAGGATGAACCATGGCCTTACCCAGGCTCTCAGAACAACCTTCAATATTCACAAGCGATTCACACAGAAGATTCCGTGTATTCTCTATCTAAAAGTACCGAAGAGGAACATACTAGCTCTCTATCCATAAAACCATTAGCCAATGAAGTGAAAGAAAATTTGGTTATAAATGACAGACAAGATAAACCTAGCGGATCCTTATCCCAGCCAACATCACTTGCCAATGAGAAATCACCCAGGAGTAAGCCTTATCCTCCAGATGTATCAACAGATGAAGTGGAATCCAGATTAAAACCAAGTCGACTTGAGCTTGATGTAGATACAGCAAGAAAACTCGGCCAAAAAATCTTGGAAGCAATTGTCACACCTTTACCGGTCGTAGATGTCTACACTGGACGGAAAAAAATGTACACAAAGAAACGTCACACAAGAACAAGGTCTGACGAGAGTTCGAAGATTAGGCTGGAAAACGATCAACATAGAATTGGAGAACAGAACAGATTGCGGCTTATAAATGGACTGCTGGACACTCCTGAAAGAGGCATATCTGAAATTTTCTCAAGAACTAAGCATACTCGATCAAGGAGTCTGAATGAGGACCAGACTATTTCTGCATACTTGATGGATAAAGTGGACATTGACCATAAACAGGATCAGTGTATTACAGACAACAGACCTTCAGTAACTACTCCTCCAGGTAATAGTGCTTTGACACAAACATTCCCTGACAAAAATGACTCTGTCACATTTACCCAACAGTTAAGTACGTCGGATGGAATCAACAACCCCAAATTGGTCACAGATCAGATAATATTGACGCCATCCAGACACCTTGAACCGCTCTCATCTGGACTGGGGACGCGTCCAAACAAAAAATCATCTAATCCTAGACGGCGAAAACCGATGGCACGGTATTGAGTATAAAGAAAGGAAATATTGCGATCTATTGGAACACAACTCTGTAAATATGTTTCTCTGAACAATTTATTTTGTGAAAGTGAATAAAACTGAATTGAATTGAAAACCCGAAAAGAATGTATTATAGGTATACCAATCACAACACAAAGATTTGATACTTATTGACAATCATGTTTAACACGTGCATTATTTCAGAATCATCACAATTACTTGATTTGAATTTAACCAAAATACATATCTTTGGTATCAAAGTTTTCAAGATATCTTGTTGTGGGCAACATGCATACTCATCTTACATATTTGTATTACTAATCTTTAGAGCCAGTGAAAAAGGTTGTTTATATATATTTATTGACAGGTTTCATGTATTTAACGGGGAATCAAACAGTTTTTAACAATGTGTTCATCCCTCCTCTGCATTTGCATTGATGCCAGATTAGAATTCAACATGTGATAAAAAGTATACCATACTTGCAGATTTAATTTATCTGCGACTTTCAACATTCGGATGAATTTTCCTTGATTACGATGAATTCACAATTCAGTATAATGTGATGATAATTTCTCCAATATGTTGAGTTATATACTGTATATTCTGTAAATCAAATATCGGGAAAAAGAATTCATTTTCAGAATTAAAATGACTGTTATAATTGTACAACTAACTTTCACAATAAATATGTTATTTGTTGTATAATGATGTAATTCAACAAGGGAATATATTGAAAACAGATATTTTATTGATCAAAATATATTTCTTTTATCATTAAAATATGATAAAACTGAATTCAGACATTTTTCATATATATCAGTTATGTATATATCATTGCATCATCAAAGAAAACTTGACAATATCTTGAAAGTTAAACACTTTGTGAATGCAATATGCATGCTCTATATAATTCATATACAGGTTCCAGTAATATTAGGTGTATACACATGTATTCCTGTAAAACCATGTATACATCATATTATATCATAGGGTCAAGCATTATATTTTATATTAACACAATGTATCATTTGATATTCACTTTCAAATGCAGAGAAAGGGCATGTGTGATACTTAAACTAACACCACATGTATAGCAATAACACTTCGAAACAAGGTGGGTATTAGCTTAATCCATCTGTACTTTTGCCTATAACATCAATAACAGATCGATACAAGTAAAATAGATAAGGAAAATGAGAAATACCAGTATTCTAGGTGTCAATTGAGACAGATGTATCGAAAGACATGGTGAAAAAAGCATCAATTATGTACACTGTAATTTAACATTTCATCATATACATGTATATTGACACTTGTTTTCAAACTGTCAACTAAATAGTGCAGTACCAAAGGAATACAACTTACACATTAATTATCTACATGTACATGTGAGAATTCAAAAGTCAATATACACATAAAAAACAGAAATAAATTAAATTACAAGAGTACCTGTTACTATTAATAATGTTATTACATTGAATATAGTTCTCTTAAATAATTCATGTCTCTTATTACATGGAAACTTATTACATCATTTACACTGAAACTCAAGCAGCAATTTATTTGGGGAAATTTTTGCAGAAGTTTAACATTTACTTATCTAACCATTTGATATAGTATTAATTAAAATAAAACAAAGTATAATGTTGATTTGATATACTTCTTACAGTGCAATAATATAAAATAATAATTTCAACAGAACTTAAACATTCTGATGAAAAGCAATAAACACTAGAGTTAATGAAGTATTAACGGCTAGTACAAGCTAACCTTGACATATCACAATGAACACCATTTTGACAGAAAAATTGGAGGAGCATAACCTGTCGATAGATTCATAAATATATTGGACATTGTATACAAGTAAGATCTTTTTTCATAGCACCTAAGCATATTGTAATTGACAAACATGTACAATGTAACGTTAATCATGAAAAATAGCTCCGCAAACACGGGCAATACCCCACAGCCTTATTATAAAATTGGGTGCAGGGCTAAGATTGTGAAGAACCTCAACAGGCTGTGTAGGTCCATAGGCCCAACATATCCAGCGAAAATGGTGATCGCTGGTGATGTCGTTTTGGAGATAATAAGCGGTATGCAATTGTTGACGGACGGACAGATGGACGGATGTCGTGCGTGATCGCAATACCCCACACCCTTTCCGGCTGTGGGGTAAAAAAGGCACAGCTTATCAGTAAGTAAAATAATGTACAAAAATGTATTTCCTCAAAGTTTGAGCAAATTCAAAATTACTACAGTGTTGACAGACAGCCATCATTTGAAGATCATTCCTAATACATATCATCAATTAAATGAATAAAGAGCAGAAAATAGGATTTACATACGTTCATATGTAGCGCACTAAAATCAGGATTTTGCAAGCAGTAAATCCATTTTGAAGATGGTATTATTTAGTAAAACTAAATTAATAAAATGGTTTTAGAAAATGGTAATGAGTTCTAATTGCATACAGGTATTAATTGCATAAATATTGAGAGCATATACAACTGACATCAAAGTGCATTACACCTATTGTTAAATAACTTCTTAAAGATTTTAATAGTGAAAATATTCTTGCTCCTTTTCTCTTCAATCACCCCTCTCCCCTATTAAAAAACTCCTTCTCCAGTTCCATAATTCTCTAAAGTCCAGAATTCTCCCCCTTTCTATTTCCTCACATCAACATCTCTATCATGCTCACTTCTCTGTTACTGCTTCCTTTTACTCCTTCCTCATGCTTGTACCAACCCCTTGAAGTATGTAACTCCTTCCCCTACCTCTATAACAATGGCTCCTTCCTCATGTCTGTACCAACCCCTTGAAGTACATAACTCCTTCCCCTATCTATCTACCAATGGCTCCCTCCACATTTCTTTAACTCCCCCCTACTATCCATAACTCCTTCTTCAAAATCATAACTCCACCATCTTGTTTATAATCATAACTTCTCCCAAGATCTCTAACTCTACCCTCTCATATATACCTCCTTTCCCAAATCTGTTACTCCTCTGCCATGTATATACTTACATCAGATCTGTAACGCCACCACTCTTCCATACATAACTCCCAAATATCTACATTTCTTCCACTGGAGTCTGACGTACAGTCAATAAATATGGATATACACAACTATTGGAACAATGTTTATGATATTTTGATTGCATTTAGAAGTAGAGCTTGGACCAAAAGGGCACATTATAAACACTCACAGAAATGATAAGTAGTTCACGAGAAGTAGAGCTTGGATCAAAAGGGCACACTATAACCATTCAAGGAAATGATAAGTAGTTCACGAGAAGTAGAGCTTGGACCAAAAGGGCATGATATAAGCAGTCACGGAAATGATAAGTAGTTCACGAGAAGTAGAGCTTGGACCAAAAGGGCACGATATAAGCAGTCACGGGAATGATAAGTAGTTCACGAGAAGTAGAGCTTGGACCAAAAGGGCACGATATAAGCAGTCACGGGAATGATAAGTAGTTCACGATTGTTTCAGTGAAAATTTTATTTTAATATAGATTTCTGTCAATTTACTGCTTCAGATTGGTGTGACTCCTCCTTCTGTTCTTACCTCCATTACTCCTTAGCTTCCTCAAGTCTATGACTGCTCCCACATGTTTATCTCTCCTCCCTTACTTTTATAATTACATACTCATAAGGGTAACTCTTTCCTCACGTCTGTAACTGCACACTCATAATGGTAACTCCTTCCATACATCTGTAACTGCACACTCATAATGGTAACTCCTTCCATACATCTGTAACTGCACACTCATAATGGTACCTCCTTCCATACATCTGTAACTGCACACTCATAATGGTAACTCCTTCCTCATGGCAATAACTGCACACTCATAATGGTAACTCCTTCCATACATCTGTAACTGCACACTCATAATGGTAACTCCTTCCTCATGGCAATAACTGCACACTCATAATGGTAACTCCTTCCATACATCTGTAACTGCACACTCATAATGGTACCTCCTTCCATACATCTGTAACTGCACACTCATAATGGTAACTCCTTCCTCATGGCAATAACTGCACACACATAATGGCAACTCCTTCCTCACGTCTGTAACTGCACACTCATAATGGTAACTCCTTCCATACATCTGTAACTGCACACATATAATGGCAACTCCTTCCTCACGTCTGTAACTGCACACACATAATGGTAACTCCTTCCATACATCTGTAACTGCACACTCATAATGGTTACTCTTTCCTCATGTCTGTAACTGCACACTCATAATGGTAACTCCTTCCATACATCTGTAACTGCACACTCATAATGGTAACTCCTTCCATACATCTGTAACTGCACACTCATAATGGTAACTCCTTCCTCATGGCAATAACTGCACACACATAATGGCAACTCCTCCCTCACGTCTGTAACTGCACACTCATAATGGTAACTCCTTCCATACATCTGTAACTGCACACACATAATGGCAACTCCTTCCTCACGTCTGTAACTGCACACACATAATGGTAACTCCTTCCATACATCTGTAACTGCACACTCATAATGGTTACTCCTTCCATACATCTGTAACTGCACACTCATAATGGTAACTCCTTCCATACATCTGTAACTGCACTCTCATAATGATACCTCCTTCCATACATCTGTAACTGCACACACATAATGGTAACTCCTTCCATACATCTGTAACTGCACACACATAATGGTAACTCCTTCCATACATCTGTAACTGCACACTCATAATGGTAACTCCTTCCTCATGGCAATAACTGCACACACATAATGGCAACTCCTTCCTCACGTCTGTAACTGCACACACATAATGGCAACTCCTTCCTCACGTCTGTAACTGCACACACATAATGGCAACTCCTTCCTCACATCTGTAACTGCACACACATAATGGCAACTCCTTCCTCACGTCTGTAACTGCACACACATAATGGCAACTCCTTCCATACATCTGTAACTGCACACACATAATGGCAACTCCTTCCTAACGTCTGTAACTGCACACACATAATGGTAACTCCTTTCATACATCTGTAACTGCACACTCATAATGGTTACTCTTTCCTCATGTCTGTAACTGCACACACATAATGGCAACTCCTTCCTCACATCTGTAACTGCACACTCATAATGGTAATGCCTTCCTCATGTCTGTAACTGCACATTCATAATGGTAACTCCTTCCATACATCTATAACTGCACACTCATAATGGTAACTCCTTCCTCACACTGTTACTGCACACTCATAATGGTAACTCAAACTACACTCTCATAATGGTAACTCAAACTGCACACATCATAATGGTAATTCAAACTGCACACTCATAATTATATCTCAAACTGCACACTCATAATGGTAACTCCTTCCTCATTTCAATAACTGCACACTCATACTTATAACTCCTTCCTCACTGCAACCCATCTTTACAACACCTATGTTTTTGTAAAACCCAGTTGACAGTGCTTTTGGTTATTACACTTACCTCGGGTCACATTAATTAGCTACCTGGATCATTTCATGCAAATGTTTTCATAGATCACACAAGCACATATGAATTATGGGTGAAGTTGAAATAATAGTCCTCCTGAAAACGTTTGTCCTTAGAGAAGTGAGGATTGTAATTGCTGATCAGAGTAGACAGCAGTGTGTCCATGTCAGGGAATTGGTGGGCACTCTTCCGACCTACACAGGGAAAATAACACAACTTTGAAACCTAATACTGTAACTTGGGAGGTGTACCACGTAGCCACAGCATCAATCATAGGACACAGAAATGGTGTTCACCTCTCTGTCTTTTTTTCAGACATAGAAATCCGAGTGAGAATCGTTTTGTCTTATTTTCAAGAACATAGATGTTATAGATATTTAAATCATGAGAGAACAGGATTCAGAAATAAACAAACCAGTCAACTGAGATTGCTACAGAGCACGATGTGACACATCCAGGCAACCCAGTGCACTGGTGGTACAGGTATGGTATCCCTTGACAAAGGGACACATACATGTAACAGTAGGCTATTATACTGGTGTCTAGGGTTTGTCTAGGGTTTCAAAGACTATCTGCCTTTAGAACAGTGTATTACTGGTGGATACTAAAAACATATATCAATTGGTTCCCTTAGAACAGTATAAAAATGAAAGTCAACTTACATTCTTCCACAAAGAAGTTAGCAAAATACTGTGTAACCTTTACACCTCTCTTGGTATGAGACAGGGCATCACCAAGATCCCAGTCATAGGGAACCTTCTCAGGGTGCCATTGAACTCCATAAATAGGATATTTTTTAGCTGTAAAATAGCCCAAAAAAACCATTTTCATTTGACAGTTTTGGTGATAATAAAATACCTGGTTATAACTTATGTGTAATCCTATTTTTTCAAAAACATCAGGAAGTATAATCCTTGTGTCCAATACATCATGTCATTTTTGCCTGAATATTCAGAAATATGTTTGTGGCAGATATAGAAACAGCACGTTACTAGGGTGAAGTGTACTTTTACATTTTTCTCTACAAACTTCTGTAACATTTCCAATTTGACAGAATGTATGTGATGACTCACCTTCAAATGTAGATATAAATTCTTCCCCATTGTTTGCTACATTGGTGGACAATACTCTATAAAAGGACTGCAGCGCTTGGTTCTGGCTGAAATTCTACAAAGTAAATGTGTGTGGCATATAAAATTTAAAACTTGCTTGTAGAATGTTTTACTTACACGAAGATAAAAAAAAAATCATAGACTGATATCTAAGATAAAACCACAACATAAAACATTATCTTGCGTGTAGGGTTGAACAGCATGTTATTGTGAGGTGTTTGTAGATATTTAGAATATGATATAGGTTGCTATCTCCAAACGCCTCACAATAACATGCTGTTCAACCCTGGTACTATGTAGATATATAGAATACAATATGGGTTGCTATCTCCATTGTGTGTAGAGGTACTCATATAGGCTGTTATGGTGAGGAGTTTGGAGTTGACTACCTACCTTTTGTGTAGAGGTGTTTCCTTACAGAGTTTGGAGGTGACAACTGTGTGTATAGAGGTACTTACCAGTTACACAGGATGTTATGGTGAGGAGTTTGGAGTTGACTACCTACCTTTTGTGTAGAGGTGTTTCCTTAAAGAGTTTCGAGGTGACAACCTTGTGTATAGAGGTACTTACCAACTACACAGGATGTTATGGTGTGGAGTTAAAAGGTGACTACTAACCTTTTGTGTGCAGGTACTTACAAAGGATGCTATGGTGAGGATGTTGGAGGTGCCAACCTACTTTGTGTGTAGAGGTGTTTCGTTACAGAGTTTGGAGGTGACTAACTACCTTTTGTGTGCAGGTTTGTGGGCTTGTGTGTAGCGATGTCATGGTGAGGAGTTCGGAGGTGATAACCTACCACCCTGAGCATGTGTGTATCAATGTTATGGTGAGGAGTTTAGAGGTGATAACCTACCTTGGGAGACAGTCCCCAATTGTGATGATTGGCTGGTGAGAATCTACCCTGAGCATGTGTGTAGTGATGTTATGGTGAGGAGTTTGGAGGTGATAACCTACCACCCTGAGCATGTGTGTATCAATATTATGGTGAGGAATTCGGAGGTGATAACATACCTTGGGAGACAGTCCCCAGTTGTGATGATTGGCTGGTAAGAATCTACCCTGAGCATGTGTGTAGTGATGTTATGGTGAGGAGTTTGGAGGTGATAACCTACCACCCTGAGCATGTGTGTATCAATGTTATGGTGAGGAGTGTGGAGGTGATAACCTACCTTGGGAGACAGTCCCCAGTTGTGATGATTGGCTGGTGAGAATCTACCCTGAGCATGTGTGTAGTGATGTTATGGTGAGGAGTTTGGAGGTGATAACCTACCACCCTGAGCATGTGTGTATCAATGTTATGGTGAGGAATTCGGAGGTGATAACCTACCTTGGGAGACAGTCCCCAGTTGTGATGATTGGCTGTTACATTGAATAATGTTAGGGAAGTCCATATGTCCATCGGTAAATCTTCCAAAAGTCGACTTTGTCCATAATCTACAAACAATTTGACAAATATCCCACTTGATATTTTTTGGTATCATCTGTTAGATATGTTGTAATTTCCAGAGGGCAGACAGATATATCTTGGACCTACTGTCAGGAGAGATCATGTTCATATAATATTGACATGGCCAAACTAAACTTTACTCTAGACAGGGACCATGATAACTATGGCTTTATCTCATGAATGATAAAAATCATTTAAAAGCTTATTAAATCATGTCTGTTTACATGGCCTGGTAGATGTACCTAACAGTTGGAGCAATGGACAGATGGATTCACCTGATGCAAGGACAAATGGACAGATGAATTCACATGATGCAAGGACGAATGGACAGATGTATTCACCTGATGCAAGGACAAATGGACAAATGGATTCACCTAATGCAAGGACAAATGGACAGATGAATTCACCTGATACAAGGGGAAATGGACAGATGAATTCACTTGATGCAAGGACAAATGGACAAATGTATTCACCTGATGCAAAGACAAATGGACAAATGGATTCACCTAATGCAAGGACAAATGGACAGATGAATTCACCTGATACAAGGGCAAATGGACAGATGAATTCACTTGATGCATGACAAATGGACAAATGTATTCACCTGATGCAAAGACAAATGGACAAATGGATTCACCTAATGCAAGGACAAATGGACAGATGAATTCACCTGATACAATGACAAATGGACAGATGAATTCACTTGATGCAAGGACAAATGGACAGATGAATTCACTTGATGCAAGTTCAGTAACCACAGAATGCCTCTGGCCACTGGGCAATACATAAATGTTCACAGTAGATGTCAGTAAGAAATTAACATAGGCAGATACATTATGATGAAACATCTGACTTATGTCTAGAATAATTTTGAATTTTACATATTATCTTTTTATAGTTCACAAGGACAAATGGACATATGAATTCACCTGATGCAAGGACAAATGGACAGATGAATTCTCCTAATGCAAGGACAAATGGACAAATGGATTCACCAGATGCAAGGACAAATGGACAGATGAATTCACCTGATGCATGGACAAATGGACAAGTGGATTCACCTGATGCAAGAACAAATGGACAGATGTATTCACTTGATGCCAGGACACATAAACAGATCAACGTTACTGCCAGCAGGTCAAATGGACAGATGTCTGTACTTGATGTTGGACAAAAAGATAGCCTGATCAATACCAACTGTCATCATTCTATCAAATGGTGAGCTAAAATCATCTTAGTTTCAAGATTTCAAGTAAAATAACCTTTTAATTTGTCTTGGTAATGACCTACCTGATGTAAGATTAAGGGGAAGCATTCCATGAGCATGTAGGTGACTGAGGAGGTTTTTTCCTGATGTGAGGACAGTCAGCTGCTGAAATCCCATACAGGTGCCCCACAGCGGAAAATAATCTCCTTGATCATTAGCCTGAAATATCAGCAAACATGTTTATATGAGAATAATTTGATAGTTTAGAACTGACCTGAGATGGCTCTCCATATTTTGATACTTGGGTAATGAACCATTTATCTCTTCATGATCAATCCAAGAATAGAGTATAAAAAGTAACTGCAATTCAGATTTGGTAGGTGATTTATATCTTGCCTGGATAACTTAAAGTATGTAGAGCAATGGAAGAATAGGCAAAACTAAGAGTAGGTCTAATCAATCACAACAAGCTTGAGCTAAGTTGAATTATCTTTAATAAGAAAACATGTTTTGTCTGCACTGAAAGATTCTTCCACACAATTTATTAACAAATTTCTTCCCAAAAATACTAATATTTAAAAACAGTATCAGTAAAAATTATAATAACATTGTATATGTAATGTTATATTGATCCTCATCAGATAACTGCCAGTTGTTTGTGGAATATTCCAAATAAGAAATTCTTTATTTAAAATTCTGCTGACAAGTAATGTCTGATGTTACACATCTTTAACCTTACATTTGTAGGAAAACATACATTGTACTTGGATGATACAACCTTTATCTGATTCATTACCTTCAGAGCCATGTTGTACAGAAGTTTCGCTGCTTTGGTAAAGTAAGATGTCAGGATATTGACACCCCCACCAGGAAACACCACACTGTAAACAGGTTAATATTTGTAAAAAGGCTACAGCATCTGACTAAAGGGAGATAACTTTCATTGCTAAAATGTGTTAACACATTTTTAATTATGCCTTTTTAAAATGCATGGTATTGATTTCATCAACATGTAAATAAAAGAGACAAATTTATCAACTCACCCATTAATACTTTTGAAGAGAGTTTCATAGTACTGGTCACTTTCCTTAACTCTAAAAAGAAAATCTCATGATTATTCATTAGGTCATTCTCATTACACAAAATTATGATATGTTTTTTTATAATTTCATGTATCCTTTGGAAATCCATATACACTATTGGTTTTATAAAAGGGAGACTATTAGGAATAATACTACTTCTTATTGATTTCACTAATAAATTTTGCTACATCATACAACAGGTGCTACACACTATATCAATTCATTCTTACAGATACAGTAACAGTGCATCGTTAATGCCATTATGTTTCACCTGCTGTACTTATCCTGAAAGAAACCAAGGTTGGCATCAAGCTTGGACTCAATGATAGAAATGGTTATACACTATAGTTGCAGTAAGGCTGATGTAAAACACGGATTGTTGAGTTTCTGTTGGACTAGACAAAGAATGAGCGAGTGTAGCTTAATTATGTCAAATATTAAATTGTACCTATTTCTTAATATTCCAAACATTTTGAAAACATGGGAATATGAACATAATAAAGAAAATGTTGAATAATTGAAGTTGAATGTATATCTATATATATATTAGAAAGTTTAAATTCCAGTTTTATTATTTTTCTATATCTACATACAAAAAAATTGTATAAATATGTACATATAGGTTTCACGTGCAAGTACATTCTGCATCAGTTAGATATTTATAATCAACACAGTAACACACATCAAATACATACCAAAAGAAACATACACTTCTGCCTTGCCAGATATATAAGCACCATTGTTATTTACAATGATAAATGCAAACAAAGGTTAATTAATATTTCAAGAAAAAACAACGTCACCCTATGTTAATAAGAAGTATTGATCAGGCTAAAACCATGTACCATCAGCGTATTGAGGAGAACTTAACCCACACAAGAAAACAGCAACTATGTGCTAGTTGTCATCACACATAATTACCGTCACCAAAATATGGTTCAGAGAGCAAAGGACACAGTTCCACTCCTACACAAAAGATGTGAGATTTAAGTCATTATATGCCCAACTTGTAAAGAACATTATGTTGGTAAAAAAGGAACAAATGTATTAAGTGAGAGAATTAGAATACCTTAACAACAAATACATTTACGAGAAACATAAAATTCCACTGACACGTGCAGAAAAGGAACTTTTTCCGTGTTCTATTCTTAACAGAATGGCAGATACTAGTATCACAAAAAGACCTTGCAAAGAGGATATTTGTAATATTGTTAACACTGTTACTAACTGGTCATTAACTCTATCATTTAGTTTCGTGATACCTTATAGGTAGTAACATCATTACCTCCCATACTGTTGCTATAAAACATGTCATAATGTCATTACTTAGTCATTAAAACAATTGCCTGAAGATAGCTCCTAGGCTTGTAAACCTTAGCAAACTACCCAGTTGACTATATATATATTACAAAATTTATCATACAGACCTCGAAAGCAAACTAATATGAACTCATGGGCAATTATTTTGTTTCTACCTGATGGGTACAACCATAGCTCCGCCCGACTCCAACCACTTCACATAGGTACTAGGAATAAATGTGTCGCCATGGTAACGATCATCAGGGTTACTGCTTTGAGCCAAAACACCTGTTTTATTTCAAATAAATTTTGTAAATTAATAGTAATCACACATTTATTTCAAAGTTTTTGAAATAGAAATCCAATTTTAACTCCTAATTCTGTTTCTGCTCCTCTAAGTACATGTACCTGGTATCCATGACATATGGAGTTTGACAGGCTCACAGAAAACACAATTTATTTTGTAGAAATAAGTTATCTGATATTAATAGCAAAGACAGTTACTTAGATAAGTACACTCAACTGAAGTTCTTGTACAAAAACCCCTTTTTGTTGTAATAACTGTGACCTCCACTTTTGATCTTCAGACTTCAAGAAAAGATCCAACTTTAAATTCAATTACTGACATCACAATACAATAGAAAAACAAATCTTTTCTGAGAGTTTCACTCACTGATCTCATCAATGCCTAATACAATTTTACTTACCGATAACTGGTCTTGAGTTTAACTTCCCATCACAAATATAAAGTCCCAGTATGATGGTAAAACAGATTACTAATATGGTGACAGTGCTATACATCATTGCCTGCTATTGGTGTGCATAAGGTATGCTGAATGAAGAAAGGAAAAAGTACAGAAGCATCAATAAAAGATATTACAAAGGGCTGATAAAATGTCAGTTTTATTTATCACACATTATCAGTTAAGTAAAAGGTAGAGACACCAGAGCGATCTTAGTGTCCACTTTTGTTTGTTCTTCTTTTGTTTTCTAAAGATTGGATATTTTCCCTTCTTTTTTCTTCTTTCCTTTTATTTGCTCTTAATTCAATTCAATTTCCAAATTCACCCAAGATTTAACAATATTTTTTCACTTTCAAATCAAAGAGTCTTTTTCTGTAAGTTCTAAAATTAAAAGGCCACAACTAGGTACTAAGGAGAATCTACATGTTAAATTTTAGAAAAAATGACAGACAACAGATCTAGATGCAGTGCTTTAATGAACAGGAGGGGTATACTGGAATATACTGGAATCACCTTATCTGTCTGGTTTGCTAGATGACAGAATGTCTGTATCTTCTAATCCTATGGCAAAGTGTAAGAAGAAACAATACATTCACAATAATACAAAGGATCACATATATTTGTAACTTTTCTTGCCTTGGTAACCTATCACTATATTCTGGTTTTCATTTAAAGCGCCATAGCTCCAAAACCATCTTTTCATTAATTTCTTTTTTTTTTTTAAATTTGATCAAATGTATCATGTCATGTAATGTGACAATTGTTTCCTAACACTGTTACCTTAGAAACTCAATATAGGTTTCTGGTAGGTCAAAATGAAGATATTGACTGATTAAGCTGGTTAAGCTGGCTTGGGATGTTTAAGGATTTACAAATAAAATGGAACCATACTGGTTGCCAATAGGTTGTCATGGCAACCAATTGAAGGTTTTGTTATGAGAAATCTTGTCCAAAAGCACTTCTTTTAAACTTCTAAAACAGTTTCAGTTGTTCAGAAATATGAATAACAAGAAGGTAAACATTTTCCCCAAAAAACAGTAATGGCAATGGTAATCTGCTCACAACACACAGATTTTTTGTAAAAGGAAAAAATTCCTGCATAATTCAATCAGTTTTATTCAATCTTGGTCAAATGGTGTAATGACTATAGTTTGACATATCAGGCGTTTCTTAACCATCATACCATGGAAACAAATGGAGGCCAAATTTTAGATATAACTTGATTCACCTTAAACAAAAACATCATCACCTTTGAGTTACATATATACAAATAAGGGATAGGTATTTTATTTTGGAAAGGAACAGGGAGTAGGTCAACATTTTTTCCTGGTGACAGTTTATCTTTAAGATAAATTACAGTTGGAATAAAATCTTTGATTTTAAGTCATCATTACAGTGGCATTTTGGCACCAGACATTATAGCCATTAAAAGATAATTATCACAGGCAGATGCTTGGTGTGTCCAGATAATCAGACATCTATCAAAAGCCTAATGACTTAGTATTATGATCAAGAGGAACTCACTTACAGGTTAAGCAATGTCAGCTGATAAAATAATCACTCCAGGAGAGAACGACAAATGAATATGGACCCTTCAGTTTGATAACGACTATTGATCCTAACATATTTCACATTGCTACAAGTGCATATGGGTCAGTCAGAGTTAATGATGACTCTTGTCAATGACATCAATTATCCTTTAAACTTCATCTGCAAGTCTGATGTTCACAGACAAATATATACCAGAGTGACCTCAAGGCAAGCTGTCTCAATTCTCCAAATATCTGTATTTTAACATAAATGCTAATTGGTGGGAATTATGGATTCAGTGCCATATACAATGAAGCCACTGGGCCCTCAGATACAGGTATATTGAATGTCCTTTGACAACATGTAACTAATCAGTTGTGAATTTGATTACAAAAATTCTAAAGTTGTTTTATTCATCTTATCAAAACAAAACCAATATTTGACCTCCCTGATAGGCAAATAAAAAACTTTCAGTAAACAACAAAGTTAGAACATATGGGCACTTAAAAGATACATAATTCAACACCATTAATTAATCATTGAATTTGAATTTCCATATACATGTAGCAACATGCATGACCTCTCACCAATTAAACACCTTAAACGTTTAAAAACAATTTCCCTGAACTTAGCTCTCATAGTCATACCTTTAATACATCATTTATTTAGCCAAATGGATCACAGCATTACCTTTTTTCCATTATCTGGTGGGGGTCCTATTGGAGCAGATGGACAAACATGTAATCTACAAACTTTCAATTGATAAAGGCTATAAATGTTAACAAGATGATTAAGGACATATGTCAATATCAATGCTACAATGTGCGCAACATAGATTATGGGACACAACAAAGACCCTCAAGCTAATGCCCTATCTAATTAGGGGCCTGTTCAGTCAACAGTCTTGGCCTATGTACACTCAAATAAAGATCCAGGGTGTATGGTAGTTCATGGCTCCCTAATCATTTGTGTTTCCATGCTGTTGTGATTGTATCACCAGGCAACACACTTTACCTTAAATTACCCTGGATTGTATGCCATGGGCTTCTTGTAAGATTTTCAGTGATTCACTGACTACTAAACGCAAACCTCTCTTCAATTTGACCTTGGCTGTTCATGGGGGTGATAAACCCAGCTAACAAGCAAACAAACTCTATATAATTACCAATTAACAACAATGTATATATCAGCAATCAAACTGATCCTTTCAAACAAAACTAGTAAAACCAATAAATCTGTATAAAGAATTCATTCAAAACTTAATACATAATTAGAACACTCACCAGGATGGCAGATTCAAAACCCTACCCCATCCCTGTTTCCCAATCAAGAATATAGTTTCAGTGGGGTTTTCCAAATAAGATTTCTCCGAGAGGCTTTCATTTTGTCACCAAGGCAACCAAACATATAGCAACCATTTCTTTATTTTGAAAATGCTCAATGTGCATCACACATTTTGTACATACAGGTAAATTTATGTGTGCAGAAAGTTTACAGTGACCAATTCATAACTTTTATACCTAAAATTATTCACAGTATGTCCTTGCATATACATGTCACATAGAACAAAATTCAAACTGTCTGCTTTAGATCTCCACTTTTTTTTAAACAATACTTCTGATAAGTTACATATAGTACAATGTATGTGTACATATATTTTTCATTATATATATTACTTGTATGTATATGTACATCTGTAGGTTGGTAAGTATTTCAAGACATACAAATGGGTTCGCATGTACAGGGATCAGATGTTCTATATACATGTATTATACTATTAAAATAGCAGGAATTATATACATATACATGTTCATTTCCTTTACCAGGGGATTGGGTTATATATAATTCATGTCAGTATAATAGCTATCATTCACATATATAGGACGTCCAGTTTCTGTGGATGGGTTTAATAGCTAATACTGTACAATGTACGTTTATGTACAATGTATTTGTACATGTAGAAGTATTTGTTTGTCAATGTTTATGGTTTTTGCGCGACGGGAGAGAGCAATGCCTTAATTGACAGTGCTTGGCGGGGGATAACTTAAACCCCTCGATTATTGACGCACCACAATTTTATCTCCAAGATGGTTCCAGTCTATCACAGTTGTTATGAAAATAGAGATCTTGTTTTATATAATATTGTTGAACGTCAGACTCCTCTTGTTACATACAACTGTACGTACATATGGATCTCAGAATTACTGTTGGTATATATGCGCAAGCAGCATATTCTTAAATTCACTCGGGTAATTCATATGGTAGAACAGAAAACATGCATAGATTTGCTACTATTCCAAAGAAAAGTTCTCATGCATCCGTGACGACAAGGAAATAATGCTACTTGCATTGATCATTAATACTGACACAAGAAAAACCGCAAAATGAAAGTAGATTTTTCTTTAGAAGAATGCGTTTAAAGTGTTGACTGTCTTTCAAGTTGGGGGTAATACTCTTAGGTAATTTTTTGCTGAAAGGATTATTGTTCTTCATGACTGTGAAGTTAACCGTGACGCTTACCTTATTTCTACGCAAAAAACGTCGTCACTGTTTCCTTTTCGGTTAAAATAGTGTTTTTGCATGGAGTGATCTCCCCTCTTGATTCGACTGTGTTGTTATATCCGGTTTAGATCAGAACCTAACAGGTTATGCCCACTCGCAGACATAATTATGATGACCACCATGGTAAGCAATATTTACACTCAACCAAAGTTGATGGCATGGTATGTGCGTTTGATAACACACACTGCGTCGAGCAAGACGTGTAAATGGTACCGTATATATGACTTTTAAAAGTAGAGAATCAAACCGGTGCGATATAGAATTCCGCTAAAACTACGAAGATGAGCTCTGTGTATGGTAATAAAAGGGAAACAATGTCCTTTTCGTCCCCAAGCGCCCTAAAAGTACCCCTTTTCGTCATTACTTCTCCTTTTCGGTCCTTTTCGTGGTTTACCCCTACCGCCATATAGTTGCTATCTACGAGCACGCCAAAACCAAAGATCGATGCTTGTAAAACGATCTTTGAAATTAGTCAAATATCGATTGAAACTTTATACATCTATAAAAGTCAAATTGATATTTAACTGATTGTACAATTAATATGTACGTTAATACACCAGGTGGAAGAGGCATGTTATGCACATCTGTTTTGACACCGTTAATTGCACGCGTACGCGATCCCCTATTGCAATGATCTCAGAGCAATTATATAATTAGAGTAAAATATCTAGCTCAAAGACACAATTACTGTACATACGATGTACAGAACAAGCCTAAAATGTCATAGTATTTGCACACTTGCTTTAAAGTTTACTTCATATACCATTACAATTAAGATTGTGATACAAGTCATTCATTTGTGAGAGATAACTATAACCAAAAATCACAGGCTATTATTTTTCTCACTTTAGCAAGAATTGGATGATATGTATAATTTTCATTATGTATAAGTGACTGAAAGAGTAGTTCTTTATGCCATAGTGTATTAATTATTTAATGTCAATATCAGATGTCTCCACATATATATATATTTACACAAGCACACAAAACAATGACACCATAACTCTTAAGAATCTGAATTGAAGATATCTAATGTAAAACGTCAACTGCGCATAAACAATTTACATAATCAGTTTATATAATGCCATTTATCCCACACTGACAAACTCTATTTACAGTCAAAAGTTATGCAAGTACAGGACAATTTCTGGTGGAGTTCTTTGACCAGTAATGTTTCTAGTTTATTTTTTTCTCATTCCAGAACATCATGAAAAATTTATTTAAAAAAGTCCCATTAATAAGACAGAAAGTGGGTCCTTAAAATTTGAGAGTCCAGGACTGGAATATCGTAGTACCAAAAATCAGATAATGGCCCCATTCCTATTATTTCATTTCATATTTCAATACTTCATGTATGGCAAGATATGGCTCTAGACGTGGACGTGGTGGTACTTGATACATAGCTAAAAAACTATGAACTATAAACTTTATTTTACAACAATTGCGAAACAAGTTATTTCAACTTATACTAATCACTCTTGTTGGCCCAGTTGGCTGGTCAGGCAGGTGACCCTTACCTTTTCACGTCCGTTCCAGGAGTCGAACCCTGTATGGCTAGGTGAAAGGCAAGTGCGTTACCACTGCGCCACATGATCACCTTAATTTGCTATTACATGTACTTGCCAGTCAGTCGGAATGATTGAGACATATTCTTGCTAACTAATATCCAAGTTGTGCTAGCAATGCCTCAATAATTAAGCTTCATTGGATATTCATGATGGCTGAAAGCCATTGTTTTGGAAATTGGCATTTAAAGTTCATTACCACTTTATCTAAAGAAATGCTGATGGGATCCCCTTGTCACTGTATGCAAATGTTCAGTATTGGTCCAAGTTGAGTTGGACATGTATATGCCACATTCAAAACTTCTTAGAGTATTCAAGATGGGAATTCAACCAGCCTCAATTTGTAATTTAAACACTTCCCTGATATTGAAGAATGAGTAAAGGGATATTGATATGCTTGTAAGATTACACACAAGTCTGTTATAATACGTCCTAGTACTAATAAGCAGTATTGCATGCTAAATTTTAAGCTTAATAAAATATTGAAGGTGGCTTGAGATAGCCATTTCAGATTGTTTTGGATTTGTGAAAGGAACTTTGTTGAAACAGTACTTGATGCCAATATTTCTGTGGAATCTCAATCATATGAAATTTTATCACCATAGTTCAAGATATTATAAAATAGATTCAATAACTGTGATCTTCCTTTTACAGAATTCTGATATAATTATATCAAAGGGTTTTCTTAGAAGTAAGCAGATCTACATTGCGGTGAATTATAAAAAAAAATATCATATGCATTTTATGCACTGATTATTGGATGCTTGATATTAGCCTTGAAAATGAAATTGTTTACATTTCTCTTTAGATCTGAATTGATGAACCAGTATCATATACCTGCTTGTACTAGTTAGTAAGGAGATGAGACTGCAATGATGGATATGTACAGTCGACTGAAATACTATGAGGAATTGTCACGTGGCCTTGTGTCTATGTGGCGTGCAGGCTGCTTCACAGACGTGGAGGTGGTGGTCGATGATGAGACATACTGTTGTCACAGGGTAGTCCTTGGGGCCATGTCAGACTACTTCAATGCCATGTTTAATTCAGGTACAGTTGTATGTCTTGATTAAGCTGTACAGACTTCTTTATATATATAAACTTTATTTATTTTACAACAATTGCGAAACAAGTTATATCAACTTATAATAATTACTCTTGTTGGCCCGGATATAAGCGTGCGAGGGGTCTTATTGTGGGAGGAAACCGGAGCACCCGGGGAAAACCCACGTGGTCGGGCAGGTAACCACTTACCTTTTCACGTCCGTTCCGGGGATCGACCCCCAGTAGGCTAGGTGAAAGGCGAGTGCGTTACCACTGCACCACCCGACCACCCACTTCTTTCAATGTGATAATTATGTTGCTATCATGTCAAACTTTAAATTTTGATATAGGAGATGTAAAAGTGGCTGATGTGTAAATGAAAATAACAATGAAATCCCTTTTGTCAATATATTTATATGTATAATGTAGATCTAAAGCTATTCTAAATTGTGTAAACTTTTGCTTTAATGTTATTTCACATTGTTGTAAGATTTTGTGCAAGTAAAATGCTCTGTTGATTAAAACTGATCGACATTTTGACAATAAGTTTGGTATTATCTATCTTGAATTTTAATCAAGGAAGATAAACTTTCCCTGAGACAGATGTGACATTAAGAGGATTAACATTAAATCAAGTTTAAACACCTTTGAAGACAAAAGTTTATATGATAATAAAATACTTGAAGAAAACCTAGAATTCAATGTGCAAGGAAAAATAACTTCTGGGTTTTTAAATTTTAAAATATTTCTTCTTCACTCCTGAAAATATCACATAACTTTATTTACATGTACGTATATATATGAAGTTTTGTATAATCCTTTTGATACCAAATGGCCAAAATTAATGAGGTGCCTGACAAAAAAATAGATGTAAATGAAAAGTGTACAACTGAGATTTATACCATTAATCCTTTTGATGTGTGACTTTGTTGACTTCCATTTTGACAGTAATTGCTTCAGTTTATGTTATATTTATGTTATACAAATACTGTAACATGATATATGTGAATTGTGTATTAAGGCCAACCATATCTATTACTGTACAAAATACATGTCCAGTAGAATCAATATTCAAGGCTTCTTCATTGTTATACAATAATAAGCCTATGCCTTGATATTGAGCCAGAATTTGTATGTTACAAGCTATAAACTCGTCATTTCTAGTATTGTTCTTGATTTTTTCGAAACTTTTCTGTTGATCACTTAGGAGATGTCATCGTGTTATTAGCCACTTTCAGCAATATATGCTGACAGACTTAAAAGTGAATGGTACATGACATCTCTATAAATAATTATCTGTTGCTACAGGTTTCCGAGAGAGTAATGAGAAGCGTGTGTATCTCCAGGGTGTTGACAAGGAAACATTTGAGATGATCCTGTCGTTTTTATACACAGGGGAGGACCACGTCAACAATGATAATGTTAGTCAACTTCTCATGGCCTCTGTTATGCTGCAGGTAACCAGTCTGCAAACTATCTGTGAGAATTACCTTCGTCAGAACCTCAACATTGACAACTGTGTTGGAATCTGGAGGATTGCCACATCTCATGGCCTCCAGAATCTCATCAAGACTAGCTGGACATTCATCATGAAGTACTTCCCTGAGATCTGTGGGGAAGAGGAATTTGATAGCATGTCTGCCAAGGAATTAACCCTGATTATTGATGACAAGGAATTGTATACATCATCTGAGGAACTGGTGTGTGATGCTGTCATTAAGTGGGTGAAGGTAGACATAGCTGAAAGGAGAAATGACCTTAAAGAAATATTTGGTCATCTCCGACTAAGTCTGATGGATACCGACTACCTCAGGAAACTTTTAGTCATGGAAGTTATCAAAGAATGTGATTGTGTTGAGATGGTGCAGGAAATTATGGGTAAGTCTAATGATGAAGACAGCAGTACACTCGCCAGTGACTATAGAGAAGAGGAAGTGATATGCATGGTTGGCACTAGAAGTCGAAATCCTGATCCACAGAAGACAGAGATACAATGCTACAGTTATCGTCACCGTAAAACTTTCACTCTGATGGACCTTCCTAAGGAAACAGGTCCCTGTTTTGCAGTCTGTACTGATGGCAAGGATATATTCATATCTGGTGGTTATGTGGAAAGGAAAATCATTCTTCATTTTGTGGCCAAAGAAAACAAATGGATAGAAAGTAGCATGAATGAAGGTCGATGGAGTCATGCAATGGCAGCTTATGGAGATGCCATTTACCTTATTGGTGGGATGTCGCAGACCAATGAAACCAAATCATGCATTGAAAAATTTGATGTACACAAGAAGTCATGTACAAAGGTAGGGGACCTGCAGGTGCCTGTGTCATCCTTAACTCTAGCAGTAATAGGGAGAAAGATTTACACATTTGGAGGAAAACATAGCAACAGGCAACCAGCTACTGTGATCCAGTGTTACAACACATCTACCAATCAGTGTGTTGTGGTAGGGGATTTACCAAGTTCCTGTGCAGGAAGTGTGGGACGAGCCGTGAATTATGAGGACAAAGTTTATCTTGTCCTCAGAGAGGGCCAGATAGTGGAGTTTCACAACAAAAGTGCTACACAGGTATGCGGTATCACCAAATTTGACCACTTTGGTGCTGTTGAGTTTGAGGGCCGTATTTTAATTATAGGAACACTGAGTGGAAAGTTCACAATGTTCCTGTTTGATCCTAAAACAAGTGAGGTTGCAGAATCGCATGTTCTTTTCAAAGCTGCAATGTGTAACTTTCATTGCCTTAAGATGGTTCTCAGTAAGAAATTCCTTATGTAGTGAAAATTCTTAAGACTTGCTAGAGTGAATGGTGCACTCATGATTCGAACACATTCCACTCCTTAATTTAAATAGTCCTTTACTATATGTATAAACATGTTTTCCAAGTGGCATGTTGACATTTTCATCGTTGAGCAAATATATACATGTATCTTCAGGGACTTAATGTTTCCTTCCAAATCTGACTTAAATCATTGTAACATGTCCTAATCATTATTGTCATTTTTCTCTTGATTTTAGTTCCTAAGAATTCGACTGAGATGGTTAAGGAAGTGATCGGAAAGTTTCTTTTTAAGAATTTCATCCTTCCTAATTCTTTATAAATACATTGAACAGACAATTTCCATGAAGTTTTTGGTCATGAAAGGCATAGTTTTGGTAGATAATGGCAGATTGTCGGTGGGAAAGTAAAGAATTTACTGTAATATTTTATGTTTTCATAGGGTTCAGTTTTGTCTTCTTTCAAACAAAATGATTTTGTTGACACTTGAAGGATAAATGTATATATGTTGCTCTGTAAATCTACTTATACTATTTTTATCAGTTTATTGATATTTAAATTTGTTTTAAGAGTATCAACAGAATCAATGAAAAGAAATTTCTGTATTTAATGCATTTTGTACCAGTATTTTAGAAATGTGTGGAAGGACACTATGAAACACATACACCACCAGCATTGCAGCTTTTTGGTAAGCTGCCAAACTAGAAATCATATATATATAATCAAAATACTTGTATGTTAATACTCATGTGATGGAAGTTAGTATTCATTTCATGGCCTTTGTAAGGGATGGAACCCAGAAACTCTTAGCTTAATAATCAGCCAATAGAGCTAAAGAAAAGACTTCTGTAGACAGGAGTTATAGTACAGCTAGCTACTAGCAATTAACTCTCAGGTGATAATTTATAGCATTGATCGTAGGTTTTGTTTATCTACTGTATGTTGCATTTTGTCTATTTAATTTGAAAAGTAATCAAACTTGTCATGTTTTATGATAGAGTCTCGAACTTATGTTTGAAGAGGTTTATTAGCTTAAGATAATTTGCTTGTAGTGATAGATATTGTCCTATAGTCCATGTTAGAATTTTTATTTTCTCTATCACCAATGTACGTACTAGAACATATTTTTTGAATGTGTAGTTAGGTTTTTTATCGTTCTCCTAAAGAACACAACAAATGCATGCACAGCATAGTTATTTACGTGTTGGGTATATAATTACGAGATGCTGTGTGGATTATCAGTACAACTAAGCTAGGACTAAATCATGGTACAAGAAAAGTGTATCTATGTACAATGTTGAAGAACATGTTCCTTGTATCAAAGTCAGAAACTGTGAAATTTTTTCTCACTAACCCACCATTCCGCCCACAGATTAACAGTCATAGTTTCTTATATTCTGAACATGTACAATTGAAGGAATTGAATAATGGTGAATTACATGATCCCTGAATTACACCTTTATCTCAGGACTGCTATACCAGTTACCTTCAGTTACTGAAGAATCATTGTTAATTAATTCACGCTGCTATTCTAGAATTTCCTACCACAGAAAATTTGATGATTGATTATTAACATTTTCAAGTGAGCTGGAGCCATTTTTCAAAAACAAGATTTTATATTTTTTTATTTGGAAATCTATCAAGACTTTGATTTTTGTATTGCATATAAATTCTTGTTAAACACGTATTTGAAGATATTTTACCATGAAAAATATTTATTGAATTTTTTAAAAAAATTATTAATGATTGATATTTTACAAATTTTAAAACTTTTAGTTCACCTGAAGCAAAGTCTCATGGTGACCAATTGGGATCACCTTTGTCCGTTGTTGTGCATCTGTAAACAATTTAGGTTCAAAGTTTGGAACCAACGCTGAGGTGCAATGAAGTTCCAGCTAAGGTCCCTAGCTGTTGGTGTGGATACCTCTAGGGCGGTTGTATAGCTGACAAGTGGCAGTAATGAGATACAATCACAACACACCTCAGCAGTTTCTGTATTTTATTTGCTACAGTTTTACAGTTGACCGGTTTCGCATCATAGGTGATGCTTCATCAGAACTGTTTGGTACAATCAGATATAGAGCTAAAGTGCAATCGAGGTGGTTAAAAAATTCATAAATAGATATATAATTTCAACATCTGAAAAACCCTTAAACCGATTTCAACGAAACTTTGTAGAAAACTTTTCTGGCTTAAAATGAAACAAAAGAGAACCACAGGGGCCTGAAGGGAGGAGACAAAAGTGTCAAATTGACTCAAATTTTAAAAAAATTGTCATCCCAAAACCCAGATGTGGTAAAATCAATTGCTCTTCTTGCATGGAAGCATCTTAAGCTACTTTATCAAAATTGTATATTTCATGGGAAGGGGTAAAGTTTACTATAGCTTATTTAGGAAAAATAGATTTTTGAGCATTTTGTTTAATTTCCATTGAAAATATTTCAAACTTGGTTAGAATTATGAGCAATAGGGTGACAGCTAGATGGCATGCATATATTTATCCTGACTGACCACCAGGGCCTGATGGGCAAGGCCAAAAGGGGTCAGATTGACCTAAATTTCAAAAATCTTCTTCTCAACACCCTGGTGTGGTAGAATCAAAAGCTTTGCATTGATGGAAGCATCTTAAAGTGCTATAATTCCTAAAATGGGTCTCACATTTCTTCCTAAGGAAGAGGTTAACTTTACTGTAATTTTTTTTTATAAAAAAAAGTGCTTTCTTGAGCATGACATTGTTTATTTCCAACTGGAAACAATTTTGTAAGAATTATTAGTATAGGATGGCAATTTTGATGGTATGCATGTATTGCCACTGGCTTACTATCATCAATGTCACAATTTCGTTTTGATGACACTTGAAAGCTACCCTTAAACCTTTATATTCAATTTTGCTTATCTCAGGTGGCCGACAAGGCCGCTAGGCCTCTTGTTAGTAATATGATAAATATTCAAGCACAAGGAATCTGTATTAATGTATTCTTATCAGGATTGGAACACCACTTGTAGAGAAAAGTTACATCTGTACAAAATGTAACCTTGATTTCCCACCTTTCTGATAATGTTGATGTACATTTTAATACGGATACATCTAAAAATTGTGTTGTATTATTGAAAATTTTTGTTGCCGTAGGACTACAGTTTGTTGATATGTATCGAAATGTGCACAATTTATTTTTGTAATTAAAAAAAAATAAACAGCTTATTAAAGTACACAGTAGTGATTTATACTGTATGTCTTCTTTTCAAATGCATTGTAAATACATGTTTGATATATATGATTGATCTATACATATATACTTTGTCTACATGTATAGTGTACATACATATGCATGCATGTGGATGGTCACTCATTGACGTTGTGTGTTTCTATTTAAATGCACGTAATATTTTCCATGTGGTCAGCAAAGGTAAAGAGAAATATTTTATTTTCCAATTTTTGCTCTAATCTAAATTTATTCTCTAAGAAATAGTTGAAATGAGTTAATCTTGCATGTTTCTTTCAATACAAATATCAACATTTGATGGTTTAAAAGTTAAATGAGAAATATGGTTCAAATTCATTCTTTGAAATGTTAAGATAGGGTGATAATGAGGAAAGGAAAAAATATCCCCAAATGATCTTCTTTATTCTTTACTTTATGGTACTGATGAAGTGACATGAGCCTAAACGATTGCCCAATAGTTCAATACATTATACATATGTATATCTAAAGGTGCTACAGAAAGACCAAAAGTACATTGTAGGTTTGTTTTTAATGTCTGCTTGTTTATTTCAACATTTCAGACGAGTAATACATTTAGCATGTGTTATTTTCCACCAGAAATTAAAACGTTGCATCACAACACCATTTTCCTTTTGTATCTGTACACATCTGTGTATAGTTTTTGGTTTTCATTGCTGATCAGTAGTATGAAATGTGTTAACAGAGCACATTCGAGATAGGGAATCAGCTACTGAGCACCAGTTTGGAAAATGTTTGTTTATTTATTCATTTTTTTATTTCATTTTGTTTTGAGGATTATCTCGAACTGTTCAATTATAGAGCTAACTGCTCCAAGGATAGTATGTCATGTGTCTGGCATCAACTGTTTTCTCCACCTGAACTAAAAAGACCAGCAATGATAAAATGTTTTTGTCAAGAAGATGAAGGGTTACCTGTAGAAAGTATTTTCAAATTAACGAACCCCACCTTCATGGTTTAAAACGGTTCTGAAGTAGCTTATTTCTGCTTCAATGACCTCAGTCATTTTGATTAGTTGTCTCTTTGTGGTATGTAGTTGGTTGCTACCTCACTGAACAACATACTGGAGGTCCTCAAATGCTAACCAGTACAGTAAGAGTAAAGAATCTTGCCACAGGACACAACCATGTCTTCACAGAATGGTCTATTTTTCATCTTCGTGAGAGACACAGATGGCTATGGGTTAGGAGCATTGAACCTGAGGTTACGAAGATGCTCTGTTCACAACTTTGTTAAATATGGTACAGTATTTGTACATTGCTGGTGGTTCTGTTAATTACTTACTTCTCTTTCAAAAAGTAACCTCATGTATACATGTACAGATAAGAGAAAGCCATGCATCACATCATTAAATATATCAATATTGTTTTATTTCATCCACCAAATTTTTCAGTAGTTTTTCGTTTTAGACAAACTGTTACATATCTATATAAAGAAATAAATGTAAAAGCTAGTGGAAGCATTAGCACTACTGGTTTTTTTTCTATGTTTAAACCAGGACAGTGAGGAAAATGATAATTCTTTTCATATCTATTTATCTATATTATCAATAGAATGTAACAAAGTCTTTTTGATTAAACAAGAACTTATGATATTGAAACATGTTCGAAAATTATCTACACTGCGACAAACAATTTTTAAAATCTCTGCACATGTTCATGCAAGAAATATATAGCAAAAAAAACATGTGAAAGATAAAATTACCAACAATATTCAAACTTTCTAATCATCAAATAATTGATATTAAAATATGCACATGTTCATGAAACATTTACAGAAACAAGATGAGGATTTACCCTTTCAAACAGCCATGGGGCATCAACACATATTCACAAGTTACAGAGTACAGACTCATCAATCTGGTATTATACGCATTAGTTGGTCTAATGTAGTAAGATCATATCTGCAGGTGCACTAATTCTAACTTGTTTATGTTTTTGAATTTTTTTTGTTTATCATTTTAGTTTATATTTCTTCATTTAAGAGTTACTTGTATATTTACTCCATACTTTTTTCATGACAGGTCAGTATGTACATTATGTGAATGATTCTACCCTAATTCAAATTCTTGACATACCACACCACTTCCATCACATTACTTTAATTGATGCTTATTCCACCATCTCATTGCGTTAAGGTTTGCATGTTTGGTTAATTCCTCACAGACATTTGGGTTACTCCTATTTGTCCCAGTTTGTTACATACTCACTCATACTTAACAAATCTATTATATATACAATGTACAGTATATTAAAATCATTATGTACTGAAAAACATTCATTTTGAATATACAAATTCGTTGATATTGAATCACATCAGGATGTTATA